CCAGGAATAACTTTATCTGGGTACATTATTTAAGAGGTTATAAAAGAAACCTGAGTCCCAGTAATCTGGGCTGACCAATGCAGAGTTTGTGACTGATCAGACTAAATTCTTTAAGCTGCACATGCATTAACTTGGAGACAAACAGTGCAAGAGATTTAAGGTCTACTTTACCTGGAACGTTGTACCACTGAGCCCCGTTAGTGATGCCATGTGGGAAGTACTCAGTGGGGTACATATCCTTACAAGGGCTTCCCTGATACATCTTTGTATTTTCCTAAAAAACAAGAACATAGAATCAGAGAATGGTTTGGGTTGGAAGGGACCTTAAAGATCACCTAGTTCCAAACTCCCTGCCATCAGCACTTCCACTAGAGCAGGTTGCTCAAAGCCTCATCCAGCCTGGCCTTCAACACTTCCAGGGAGGGGGCATCCACAACTTCCTTGGGCAACCTGTTCCAGTGTCTGACCACCCTCACAGTGAAGAACTTCTTCCTAATATCTAATCTAAACCTCCCCTCTTTCAGTTTAAACCCATTTCCCCTTGTTTTGTCATTAACTGCCCTTAGGAAAAGTCCTTCCCCAGCTTTCTTGTAGGTCCCCTTCAGGTACTGGGAGGCCGCTATAAGATCTCCCTGGAGCCTTCCCTAAGATACAACACGTGAAGCTGAGTCTCTGCACTGTACAGCCACCAGCACTTTTGTTCTAACATTAGTCACACACTTGGGGTTACCAAACAGAGGTTCATGTGGGTGTGCAACCTACTGCACCCAACTCCAACCCAGAGACATCCTTGCTCTTCTCCTGCCCCATGTTTTCAGCATTTTCTACCACCTTTCAGTGCATTGGCCCCTATGCCTGCACAGAGCACTCCTCCTACAGCGCCTGGAGGCAGAACATCCCTCCACAGAACAAGACCCTTCTGCTGTGCCTGCAACACCAGTTGCCCACAGTACCTGCGTCCTCCTCTACCAGCCACTCAGGAGGCTCCTGACAGCATCAGGAGTTAACCCAGCAGCATGTGTCTGTTTTCCCATTAGAGCTTTACCTTGGAGTAGGAAAGTGCCAGTTGTTGAAACACAGCATCGTCTGGGGATTTACTGTATATGGCTATTCCTTGTTCATCGTCATCAAAGGGGTAATTAACCACCAGAGAACCTGCAGGGGAAACAAGCTTTGACTCGTACTTGAGTGCTTTCCAAGTGATCCCTCAGCCTAACAGGGAAGGTTTTTCTTTTTCTCCGAAGAGTGCCAAGTCTTGTTTCTCAAGACTTGGCATTAAACAAAGCATTAAGCCCAGTGGATAAAAGAGACAACAAAAGCACAGGAAGAGATAAGACCACACCCAGTTGGGAAGGTGAACCCAAGCCATGACACATCAAAGGTTTGGCTGTTAAATGCAGGAGGGATGAGTACAACCTCCTAATAATTGCTTTCACAAAGGAGAGAAAGCAAGGGGAGAAATTTCCTAGAACAGGCATGGTGCCCTTCACCCAACTGCTGGAGTTTTTCAGTCTCCTGGAGCTTATTGCAAGCACTGTCAGATTATAACACCTTTGGCTTCCTCAAGCTTTCCCTAAGCATGTTGGACTAATAGCACCGTGGAACCCCAGACACCACGGCTGCTGGAGACCTGCCAGCTCCCTCGTACCCACACACAGTACTTCTGCACTACAAAATTAAACACACCAGCACAACACAACCACCTGCAAGTTACCACAGCTACAAGCCAGCAGACAAACTGTCTAGGGAATAAGCTGTAATGCAGAGACCTAATTTAGATCACTCCAAAAAGATAATTAAATTACAGCAAATGTCATAGTTCCGCCACGCAATTCAAGGCAGAGAACCCTCAGAATTACATCTTGTTCCTTTCATTGTATGAATAATATGAAGCCTCCAACAGCCACAGCACTGTGTCACATTCCCAGACCCAGTTGCTGAGCAGCTGCTGACAAGAGTCCACTCCCATCTCTCAACAGGCAATGAACTAGCTGCTCCCCAATGCATGGGCTCCCTTCAGAGAAGTGGTTGTGATCCTCCCAGCAGCCTCTTCAACAAACGTGAGACAGCCTCTCCGTAAATGTGCTTGGGGACACGGTTTTCATGCTCCGTTTCCAGCTTCTGATCCATCTTCCAGCAGCATGAAGAAAAGGTTTGGTTTACTCTTTGTGTAGGCCCTTTGGAAATGGCCTTACCCTTGTTGCAGGAACCTGGCTGCCTTCGCTCCTGCCATTTCACAGCAATGCCACGGGCAGAGAGTCCTCTGCTAAAGCTCCTCATTTCATGCCACAGAGTGGAGATACCCCTGCCAACTCCCATCCCTCAAGCCTCAGGGCAGAAGAAGGAGCTTGGTTTGGCTGACATACCTCCGTGCAGGTTTGCTGAGAGGACAAATGGATGTGCCTTTAACCAGGTCATGACAGCGCGAGTTTCTGGCTGCGGAGGGTCTGCCACGTGGAAAAATTGATCTGGGAAGTTCCGGTTCAGGTCATAGTTGTTGCTATTGTTTCTGCCAACAGTACCTCCTCTGTCTCCTGAAAATTAAACACATGTTCAAGCTTGTGCCCTGTGCAAGTTCCCACTTCAGTGCAGAGGCTTCATCCTCTTAACTACAGAGCTTACAACTGACAATTAATGGAAAACAGCCCAACAGGGCTGGCTTCCTACACCCCAGAGTGACAGGACCCCCACACTCTTCTTCAGCGACAGGCCTGCTCTGCGCAGAGAGGTGTCTGAGGGCCCTTTCAGCAGGTGCTTGCACAGGCTCTCAGTGCCAGGCAGAGCACAGGCAGCAGAAAGGCAGCGAACCATGAACAATCCCAGCAGCCGGATGTCACGACCACAGAAACCTCAGAGCTCACCTTCTCAAACTAGCTGGACAAGTTCTTTGTTAAACCCCAGTACAGCTCTGCTTCCAAAAAAATCATTCTGGACAGACTTTGTTCTGCCAATCTGCAAGAGCCACGCAGTTTTAAGGACTTCCCTGAAGGTTATTTTTGCCAATTTCAACATCCTGATAAAAGTCCATATTATCCTTGGACAAGTGCTCTGCAGACAGCCTGGCTCCCACATCACATGTTACTAAGAGCATGGACCAAAGCACAGCAAGTATGAGCTGTGTCAAAGGAATGTCTTTTTTAAAATAAGCCTTAGGATAGCCACAAACCATAAGGGGACCCAAACAGGGGCAGCATATAGCGCTGCTGAAGCACAAGAGCTCTCTTCCATGCACCAGCTTCACTGCACACATCCTGCAGAGCGGGGTCTATCCCCTTACCCCACAGCACGCACCGAGTCCCTTCCCAGCCACCCTGTGAAGAGAGCACTTCTGCTCCAGAAAGGCTTCCAGGTTTCTCAGAGAGGTATCAGGAACCCAAAGGTGTGTTCTCAGAGCTAGAAACCCCCCAGATGTTTCAGCAGAGACAGAAATACCTTCCTGGGACTTCTCATAGCCGTCAGGGTTCATGGATGGCATGATGTGGATCCGTGTGCTCTGGACCAGGTCAGTCACCTCAGGATCTGTGCCAAAGTTCTTGCAGAGGTACTCAATGAGGTTCAGGAGAAGCTCTCGCCCCACAACTTCATTCCCATGCATGTTACCAATGTACTTGAACTCCGGCTCACCTGCAGACACATGGCCACACCAAAGAGACAATTAGAACAAGTACATTAAAGCTTGGAGACATCTCACCACCCCAAGCACTGCCCTCTCAGGCCTTTCTGCAGGGCTGAAGGGCATTTACCCAAAATGTACCCTTCTGCTCCCACAAAACCAAAAAGGATGAACATTGTTGCAGGGCAGCCCCTTGGTCCTTCTGTCCCCAGAGCCCCACAGCCAGTGTAGAGGTCCCCAGCAACACTCTGTAACTCACACTAGTGCCACACACTTCACCTGGTCTTTTTAGAAAGGATATTGCAAGGAGCAGCACAGTCTCTCCTCAGAGAAGTGCCAGATCTACCCGCCTTTTTGCTCTGCCCGCAGAGCCTCCCACCACAAAGGATCTGTCACTTGTGTCTGTGTCTCCCTAAAAAAAGTCTTTCCCACATTACCTGCTTCATGTACTCCAGGGTTGTCTGAGATCTCCATGACGTAGAGCTCACGCAGCTCCACTGACTTGCCCACAGAATAGAGTCGGGTTATGTTGGGGTACTCGTTGGCGTATCGCCGCAGGAAGATCTCCATGTCTGAGAAGTGATGGTGGCGGAAGTCCACAGGTTGGATGGGTTGATGGAGAGAGGTTGAGCTTGGGGCCTCTGCTTGCACAGGGGTGGGGGTGATGGTAGAGCCAGGAGCAAGCGTCACCGTGAACTGCGTGACGTTAAGAGCTGGTGGCATTACAGTTGGCTGCAAGGAGAAATCCACTTCTGTGGCAGCTCCCTCCTTCACTTCGATGTTCTCTCTGGTCACTGGGGCATAACTGCAAAAAAAAAACCCAAAAACCAGCTGGCTTCAGCAAGGAGGCTCTGCAGAACAAGGCCAAAGCCCCTGCAGCCTCTCCACCACTCCAGCCTACTCCTCCCAGCCCAAACACACTGGGATGTCAATGACTATGGGAAAGGTTCACCAGTGAACAAGCTGATGGGACTCCCACTGCCACCAGACCCAACTGCTGCTGTCCTGCTGTGTCACAGAGGCACAAGTTCCTGTTTACAGACTCACTGGGAAAGAAGCCACAGGCATATCACAGGACTAGCCCCGGGGCAAGCTACACATTCACACCCAGACTTGAGCCAACACAAAGTCTTACTGGGGTGACTCTACTCCACTTTCTCCCTTTGCCCAAAAAGCAAGATGCAGGTTGCTACAAGCAATCGAAGATGACAGAAATGCTGTGCACAGCTGCAGCTCTCAGCTGGAGACTTTTACTGCTGCAGCTCCCAGCCAAGCCCCTTAAACACACAACAAGATGTTTTGGGGGAAGAAATCAAGTGAGGGAACATGAGCAGTTGGCATCGTGGACGGCGGCTGCCACAGAGACATTACCCCATTACAACTGCAGTCACGTTGTAGGTGCCAGGCACAAGCAGTCGGTGGTAATCGCCAAATCTGCCGGCTGTGATGTTATGAGCAATACCGGCAACAACGATGGTCGCGTTCTCCAGGCCAGCTCCAGAGACTGCATCCCTGACAAAGCCTTTCACACCAATGTGGACCTGAGGAAAATAATGCAAGAGCCTGGCTGAACACAGGCAACATCGGGGAACCATGTCCTTCCCCAGCAACGACCCCCTGCCCTTCCCCAAAGGCAGGGGAGCAGGACAGCTGCCAGGCAAAGGCACCCAAGGGCCCATGATTCAGACAGTGCTTGGCCAGAGGCAAGGACAGGAATTCCAGCACGTACTGGGAAGGCAGCAAGATCCCAAAACTGATCCTCTCTAACAAACCCTCTGTTTCACCGACACAGGCACACAACAATATGAACATAGCAGAGTTCCAGGCCACACCAAAAGCCAAAATGCAAGAACTGTGGAAGAACCGCAGAGATACACAGCAGCTTTGTAGCCACCGACCTCTACAGCTGCCACACACAGCGAATGAAGCCACAAGAGCAACTCAACATGGTGCTCTCAGTCCACCACTGACACAGCTGCTGCCCCCATGCCCCGTCCC